AATGATGAATCTGGAAGAAAATATGTTGCTATCTCCAGATAAAAAAAAAGCTGGATACAGAAATGGCTGGGACACAGGAGTACTGAAACATGGTTGTGAAGCCAGAAGCCTGAGGGAAGAAAGGCATATTTCACTACAAAAGGTGAGATTCAATATTAAATTATCTATTTCATCCTATAAATTGATTAATGCCAAGGCTCCAGTGAAAATCAGTCCTGCAACAAGCAAAGCAAACACAGGGTATTTAAAACTGAAGATTTCTCAGTTCCACATAACATTCAGTACCAGGACAGGGAGGTACAGCAGGACAAGCATTCCAAACTCCTAATTTTATTTTTTTTTTTAAACTCAGCTGTAATTCTCTCTCTGGAAACAACTCTGCCTCTTAAAGCAACCAGGAGACAGTCATCTCCATGCACCTTCTCTCAGCTGGCCCTGCACACTGCACCAAGGAAGCTGAAGAACCTGCACCTGCCAAACCAGCATTCCCAGCTGAGGCAACTCACTGCACGCAGGTAGGTGGTTTCCTGTAGAGGAAACCTCTTCTTGAGCTCAGAAACTGAATTCCAGCATCAGGGGTTAGTAAAAACAGGACATAAGGAGTTGTTTACTTATGTTAGTCACCAACTCTTTTCTCTCTTTATCAGAGGAAGATTTTATATCATGTTTGTTTTCTCACAAAGATATTAATTTTAAAAATTGAGTTCCTTCCCTAAATTTTTGCGTATTAGAAATTATTCCAGCAGTCAAATACAGTTTAAAGGGAGACACCTAGTTGCTATAACCGTAGCAACTCTCTAATTGCAAACTTAGACACAACAGTACACACTAACAGTACCAGAAATACCTAACTGAACAGACATGAACATCTTCCTTTTTCCTGAAGATTAAAGTTTTCTGTTCTCAGTACCACACTCTGTTCTCATACCATACTTGGTACTGATACCAAGAATATTATTCAAAGATAAGAAGAAATATTATCTCTTCTAATGTTCTGCAAGTCTTCATCCTCCTCCTCCCTACCAGATAAAAATGAGAATTCTTTTTTCCCTTGACATAATGGTTTCCCCTTGTTCTTCCTTCTAGTAAAAACTCCCTCAGAAGCATATTAGTACATGCCTCCTTATCTTATAACTGGACAGTAAGATTTATTAACAGGTAGGAAGAGCACGAACATCTGAGGTCAGTAGTGATGAAGTGCTGCTTTAGGTGCATGAGGTACACAGACATCCCCACCACACCCACTCCCAAAATGCCACTCCTGTACCTACTTCAGACAGTTACTGCACATCACATAGACAGCAACACAAATTTCCTTATTAAAAACAGGAAATGTAGTCCTTTACTGCCTAGTTGATACTATAAATATGGAAGAAATTGTTTTTCAAACCTTACTCAGGCTTCTACTGCTTATTTCTGTATTTGGAATTGCCAGAGGGATTAAGTGGCCCCTCTGTCCCCTCCCTAGACAGAGACACACCGCACCCCCTCCAAGCTCTGTTCTGATGATTTATTCAGATGTTGGCTAATTGTGGTTATCTGGCTTCCAAGTGCTTGAAGCACTTTTGGCATCAGGATGAAGTGACATCCAGGAGCATTTAATCTGTTAAAAAGGCCAGTCAGCACAGATTAATGCAGTAAGCACATGCCTCAAGGAGAGCCTGTTTACATTCTTAGTGTAGTAACAAAGCGCAGAGAAGGATATAGCAGTAAAAGTAAGATTTTCATACAAGTCTTACCTGAATCCTTTAAAAAAATGTGTGAAAGAAACGGCATAACAGAACACCTTAAGCAAAATATCAAGTTAAAATGATACCTGTCTGCAATGCAATCAGTAGTAAGGAAGTTTTAGGAAACCATTGTGTAAGGAAAAGACATTTTACAGGGGTAGGTAATTGACATCAATTTTAGCAAAATGGCACATCAGCTACTTTTTTCAGCTCCTTTCTCTCTCACGATGCATCTCAGATCCTCACTCTAGTTTTGAATGGTTTTGAAGAGGCTGTTTTGATGTGGTTCTTTTGACAATGAGCAAAGACACAAACTATATGTAAAGTATTTTTGGAAAGTAAGCAACATTCAGTCTGTCTGCTAAAAGTCTAGGACAAAAAGGGATCCTTTTGCAGCAGTGTTCATCTGTGATACCCTGATATTTAGCTACAGAAGATTACCATTTATATTAATTTATATCTCATTTCCTCCTTACATATTTGAGAGTACACATTTTATTTTAACAATATGTCTGTGTCCAAATCTGGAGACAATCTAAAACACCTGGAACCCCTCCACAGCCCCAGAATTTGCCAGACCATTCCCTTTACTTCAACCATATTTAGTTCTTCACATAAGTCAATGCAAATGTTCAACTTGTATCTTACTGTGGCTTTAACTTGGATAGAACTTGCTGTATTTTAAACTATTTATTACAGGAGACAGTTAATGGAGTATCTAAATTCAGAGAGAAAGCCTCTCGAGGGTCTCTTCCTCCCTTCCTAACCCAGGGCTTGCAACAGATAGGAGGGAGTCAATCATTAACGTCTGGGGTAGTCAAAAGACATTAAGTATAAAAAGAACTTGCACAAATTTACCTCCAAAAAGCTTATCTTCTGTTCCATATTCAACAGGCTGCATTTTATTCAACTTACACACAGAAATTGGTACAGTGGCTCAGTACCTGAAAGCCTCAGGTCTTTGAGGTTCAGACAACTTCAGTTGCAGAAGAAAAAACAGCTCTTTGCAAAAGCATTATATGGTGCAGAAACATGCGTTTAGATACTCAGAGACACTACAATTTCACTCAAACTGTTGGATTTAAAAAGAATCTCAGCACAGATGTTTTGCATAAATAACATGAATCTTGAATCAAAACACCTTCCTCATGTACCTTTCCAGCCATCCTCCACAGTTTGAAAGGTTAACAGAGAAAAAGTAACACTAAAACCATGAGCAAATCAAAGGCTTAATTACTGCACTGACATATAGAGAGCATATGGTTTTTCCAAAGTAACTGTAGGTTAGCATTTTATTCTAAACTTATTAATACCTCGTAATAGTTAACATATTATGTCCTTTAAGAACTACAGAAGGTTACAAAAGAGTTAGAAGAATGTTAAAAATCCACCTGTACTAATTCCCTGGCCCTAGGACTGCTGTTTTGTGTCAGTCTGAAACACCAAAGTATCAATGCATAAACATGTTCCTTTCAGCACACAGCTTTGCCAACATCTAATCTGAATCTCCCTTTAAGCCAGTAACTTTTGGCAAAAGCTTTCTAGATACTTTCAGAGTGTTATGTCCCTCTTTAGGACTTTCAGCCTCAGTCTGTTTTGAGTGGTCCTTAAACCTTTTCTCAAAATTGCATATCAACACATGTCGATTTTATTTTTCTCCTCAGAGAGATGCACTTCTCACCAGGATGGCAGGCAGATAATAAGTTTATAGGCAGATAATATAATTTGCAGTATGGGATATAGGTTTTTTGGACCTTTCAGGAAAATTAAAGGGGGATTTAAATTAAGAAAAGTGAAGTATTCCTATTCTAAAACTAATCCGTAACTAGTTCCAGCCTGTAATTCAAGGGAGACCTGTGAACAAAGAGAAGCTAAATATAAATGGAGAGAAGTATGCTAATATTTACTTACTGGAAAGCAATAAAGTAAGGAAGTCAGCAAAAGCAGTACTGGAAAAATCATCTTAAAAAAATAATGAGGAAAAATATTAAAATATTAAAACTTCATAGGCCTTGTCAACACAGTGAGGAGAGGATCATGTTACATGGATGCTACTGTACTGCTTGTTATTTAGGAAGGCTTTTGTGCATCAGTAAACGAGAAGATTAATTAAATTTTTTTGTCTGGGAATACCAGGCTTAGTACTTGGAATGCAAAAATGGATTTTGAAAGGGCTGTGGATTTCATCTGCACTTCACAAAACCCATTTGCAGATGTCCACCAGTAAAGTGATATGTCACACAATCAAACAGTCCAAGAGAGTCTGTTCACTAGCCTCTACACTGTGTGAGCAAACATTCCTGTGCTCTTTACAGACATAAGAAGCAGTAGCTCCACACGGCATTTTCCTCTGATAAGCAAACACATCAATTCTGGCCATTACAACCCTTTTACAACCTCTGAACTTTATTCCATCACAGAGAAGATGCCACAGCACATTTCCTTCCAAGAAATGAATACCACCAAAATGATTTCTTGAAAATTAATCAGTTAATCAATGCCACTCAAATACTAGGAGGGAAAAAATTTCAGCCTCAGGACACACAAACCACACACTCTTTTTGGAGTGGAGAGTGCAGGCAAGATTTTGCTATGGGCATGTGCACAGGGGTAAACTTTCCCATTGTTTTTTTGCCAAAACACTGAATTACTAATACACTAATTAAGTAATTAATTGCACAGGCATTTCCCTCTTGTTGTCACAAGATGTACACACAGTTCTTCACCTTCGCTGCACACATAGGGACACGATCACTGAGCAAAAGAGATACTAAAACACATAAAACTCTGTAGATCATGGCCAAAGACTTGAAAAATACAATCTCCCAACAAGAAAGCAAATATGAAAACCACATAAACCAAATTCTGTTTTCCTATCCCCTTGTTGTTGAAGTTCTCACATTACCTAGCCCACTAGTGGCTTGATTTATAAAAGCAGACTGGAATGTACTGTATTAGCTTAGTAACAAAAATGAGCCTTCTACAATGCAAAGTGTGAAGTCTCAGCTAACCAAGCTCAGCCAAAACATGGACATAAGATCATTACTTTTTTCATGGCAACCATGCTATTAAAGTTTCACAATAAACTCTGCCACAGTAAATGCACACAGGATGAACAGATACAATATGAAGGCACTGGGGGAAAAGCCATTTTTCAACTGATTTCCACAGGATGCACCAGTTCTAGGCAAGTTTTCGGAGTTCACACTTGTACCATGGAGCTATAAAGAATTTTCAAGGCATAGCTACATAAAATATTTAACCACCTACCAGCATTAACGATGGCATCAACCTCAAGCAGTGTAATGTCACCTCTATAGAGAGAAACTTTCTCGCTCAGACTTTTCTTCCCTTGCAGATCTTCTTTAGTGTTTTCACCTACAAAACAAGAAAGCAGAAAGACCAGGCTATAAGTGTGGATCCGAGGTAATCATTTACAAGCCCTGAACAGGCAGCAATCCGGTGACACTACTGCTGTCAGACTGCAGCATCTTTCAGTTTCACCTCGAGAGGGCACCGGTAACCCACAGAGACACCAGCACTGTCCTAACATCAAACTGCTTCCTTGTTACTTGTTCCCAAACAGAAGCTAGGAGGAATCACTGAATCCTTATCTACATACCATTTGGTTACCAAACTGTAGAAATATACATATTTTTGGAGTTAGATCCACGAAGTAATTTTATTTGGTAATCACAAGAGTGTAAATTGCAAAAACAAACTGAGAAATTAAGATTACCCTCCTAACCAGAGTAATAATTTCTGCAATCCAGAACTATACCAAGTGAGTACAAAAATACACAAAGCACACCATTTGTCAACAGCCCCAGAATTCAGAGACCAACTTCTGAAGACATGTAGCCAGACAAGCCTGAAAAAAAATCCATGCAAATTTTAAACTTGGAACTTTGTCACCTTAAATTGCTCAACTAGGAGGAGACAGGTGGTGAAGACAACATACACTAGCTTGCAACAGATTTGTTACTAAATAATGTTACCATAGGTCCCATATTCCTGTAAACACTTGAGATTTTGCATCACCAAATCATTTATATCCAATTCAGTCTATAGAACTTCACAGTTCCCTCAAACCCTTGCACATATTACCCAAAGCTCCACCAAGTTAGACACTGCACATCACCAGAAATGAACTGAGGAGAGAAGATTATTAATTAACTTTTACTATTACTTTTTTTAAATTCTTTCCAACACAAGTCTCAAGAAGCTTCATCTATTGGTCAGAAATAGAACTCATTTGCTGAGGTAACAAGTGTGAATCAATTTCATATCATCAAAACAAGTGAAGGTGAATCAATTTCAAATCTTCAAAAGAAGTAAAGTTTGTAGATAAGCAAAAAGAGTCTTCAATATTTAGTGAGAAAGTAGAAGCAGCCCAAACAAATTTGTCCTCCATTTCCATCAACTCAAGAATACCAACTCGGACATGCCAGCAGTTCCTGGCTGAGCACTGGGGAGCACATCCCCAAGCTCCTGAGGCCTGTCCCACAGTGGCACGACAGAGCAGCAGGCTGAGACAGCTGCACACTCAGATGCTCAGGCCTGGCCTTGCCTTGACATTCCCAGCCTCTGGCTGCCCGGCAACAGCCCTGTGACATCGCAGCTGATGCCAGCACCTTGCACAGAGCCCGTGGGCACTGCCCGGCTCAGCTCGGGCTCAGGGCGAGAGGTCACAGCTCCTCGGGCAGCCCCGCCATGCTCCGCCCGGGGCTCTCCCTGCTCCTGGGGCTCTGCGTGGCCTGGCTGCTGCCCAGCACGCTCAGAGCTCGCAGCGGTCCCGCCAGGAGCACGGCCCGGCTGCCCGTGCCAGCCCAGGCCGCGCGGCAGCCGGGCACCGGCACGGGCTGTGCCAGCCTGTGGCCCGTGCAGATGCGCTGCTGTGCCGTCCTAGCCCTGTCCCTGCTGCTCGCCGCGCTCTGCCTTGGCTGCAGCCTCCGGAGAAAGGCCCAGAGGCAGCTGAGAGAGGTGAGGGATGGCGACCAGGCAGCTGGGATGGTGCCGGGGGGCCGGGAGCGACAGCGCGTAGGGCGAGGAGAGCCAGCCCCTGTGGAAAGCCGGGGCAGGCACCGAGGCTCCTCTGCCTCTTCCCAGCCCCGTGCCCGAGCCCAAAGGCAGAGGTGGGGCTCAGCCCCCGTGCTCCCAGGAGGAAACAAGGGCAGGCCGAGCCACCAGAACAAGACGGAAGCTGCCCGAGCTCCTCTCCGCACAACCTGCAGCCTGGAGCGGCCCAGCCCGGCCCCAGATTCCCCGGAGAGCCCAAGGGACCCGGCCCTGCAGCCCCTGTGCCCCTTTGATCGCGCCCCTGCCCTGTGTCTCCCAGGAGAAGGCCCGGGCACCCTCAGCAGGGCCAAGGACCTGCTGCCTGGCTGTCTGCTCCCCCCTCAGTGACGGGGTCAGCCAGAAGGAAAACTCGGCCTCCAGCAAGAGCTTCCTGAGGCACCTGCGCCAGCGCTGCCTGCGGGGGGACACGCTCCAGAGAAGAAGGAACAAGGACGTGTGGAAGGACCTAGACGAGGAGGCAGCGCTTTTCTCTGATTGAGAAAACGGCACCTGCTAGGCAAATAGAGCAATATACTGCAAGATTACTCACACAGATTTTTTTATTAAAATGATTAATTAAATGATTAAATGATTCTTTATTAAAATGATTTATTAAATAAGACAGCTTTTATTTCTGTTTTAACTTTAGTCTTGGAAACAAGTTGATTTTAACTCTTACGAGAAAGTGAAGTCAATAGCCACTAAATCACCTTTCCACACACACTCACAGAAGATTGAGATGATCCTGGCACATCCTTTCCAAAATTTGGGGGTTTAGGCTATTACTGACAACACACAAAAGTGGAAACAGTGCTGTAGGTCCTCCTCTCGTCTTCTCTGCCCCAGCCTCAGTAATACATTACAGCTGAAAATCTTCACCAGAAACAGTTGAACATTCATGCCCCACCCCCACTTTTTCCCCTCTAGACCCAGCCATTATTTTCTATCCCTCTGCCTATACAATCCAATTTAATTTAGCTCTTCCTCCTACATCGTCCTTTGATCCTTCATTCATGTTCATAACATCTCAGAGTCTACAGAGCCAGAGCCTGAAGTAGGATGAGGTTGATTACATGAGCTCTTCACTCCAAACAGAGAAAATAGGCAGTCCTAGCCCTCAACTCCTTCCAGATCACTCCCAAGGATAAGGGCCTTTACAGCTTAACAAGGGTAGAAAAATGCATTAAATTGAGTCCACATAAACTGTGCTTGAAAAGAAAACAGATAAAGTTCATCTGAACCAAGTGGGCAAGGGACTGTCAGAACATCTCACTAGAGGGAGCCCCCACCCAGGACATAAATGTACTCAGCTGGTGCAATGGACAAGGATGGCACAAACCTACAGCATTGGAAAATTAGCCCTGCAACTCAATCACTGCTCAAATAGCCAGTTTTAAAGTCTAATATACTCTATATTAATTTTTTGAACAGGTTTCAAGCATCCAATTACAGAATTCCCTACAGCAATACCAAAGAGCTTACCACTAGAGGGAAGAGAAAAACCTACAGCTTGAAGAGTTTATTAAAAAAACCCACTATATTTGCATTTTAAAACAACTGTTAATGAAAGAGTAGAGCACTCACCAAGTAGTAAAAACAGGTACCAAAGCCTCACAGTATAAAGTAATACCTATGGCAAAGTAAAAGTCGCTTGGCTCTCCATGAGCAAAGTCTGATAAGAGAAGGAATCAAAGAGAAAACAAGTGAGAAGGATTGATGGCAGTGAGGCTCACAGGCTCACACTGTTGTAAGGGAAGTTTGTTGAACAAGTCACACGACACATTTTTCCTCAATTCCATAAAAACAAGTAGCAGACTAGATTGCAAGAGAAAAAAGCTGAAAACTTTCATCACTTCTAGCCAGCTTGAGAATCCACAGCTGAAGGAAGTAAATTAATTCCAAGTTCAACAGAAATAAGTATGCCCACTACCTCATCCCTGCTACAATAGCTGCTACCAGAGATGTATCCCCACAAGGAAGGCTTCTCGAAGAGGATCTGGAAAAAGAACCTGAGCACGGGACAAAAATCACATCATCCCCGGACAAACGGCAGCCCTTCCACTCCTGGGAAGAATCCTCAGCAAATACTTGACTAGGACACTAAACCACTTTTCTTGGGTTGCTGAAAACACAAAGGAGATGAGCAAGCTTTAGGAGTGCATCTGACCCTGGTGGAATGTGCAAAAGCAATTCTGCTACAGACTCTTTGCTTTTTCCCTTCAGTGCCTATTTTACTTCGGGTTTTGTTTCCCCAAGTTTCCTGGACAGACTTAAAATGATGAACTATTAGCAATTACTAATCTCACAACTTTCCATTCCATTTGTTTCTGCATAGGCTTACGAAGCATTAGAGAAGACAGATTGTAAGAGCTGTATTATGTGTCTGCTTCTACTCCTACTAAGCATGGATGACTGTACAGGAAAGGCAATTGCTTATCTAAATCAAGATAAGCATTATTTCCATATGTTCCATCACCAGGGGAAAAGCATTCACAGATGCACTGTAGTACTTCAGATTTGTAGTACAGATTTGCTCTATCACTTCTTGGACTTAAACAAGATCAGAACCTGAGCACAAGGAAGAAACATCTGTTGCAGACAAATCACTTTCTGCCCAGCCAAAAATGCAGCACAACATGCAAGTCAAAAGCACTCGATGATGAACACCAACACCTTCTCCTTGGCTGCACACTCTGCCAATATGGTCTGTTTCAACTAATTACCAAGTGGCATAATTGGATTAGCTGAGGACTACAGCCAAGTACCAAACTCTGTAGGCAAAGACACCACAAATCACAGAATGGATGTGATTGGAGTAGCACCTCTAGTGATCAAGTCACCCAGAGCAAGTTGTGTAGGACCCTGTCCCAGTTCAATTTAAAATATCTCTGAAGACACAGATTCCACAGCCTCTCCAAGTAACTTGTACAAGTGTTCAGCCAGTCTCACAGCATAGTTGCCATGTGTAGTTTTGGTTTTTAATGCTCAGAAAGAATTTCCTCTTTCAACTTCTGCCTACTACCTCTTGTCCTGTCACTGTGTACCACAAGAGATGAGTCTGGAGAGATTTCCTCCACTCTATGTTTATGAACACTGATCAGATCCCATCTGGGGTATCTATTCTTCATGCTAAATCTCAGCTCTCCCAGTCTCTCCAGGCATAGGAGATGCTCCAGCCCCCTAATCATGTTCCAATCATCTCTGTGGCTCACCTGGTGCATGAACCACACTTCCCAGTTCTGCACCACTGACCAACCTCCTGAGGTCACAAGTTTCCCCATATTTCAGGTCAGGAGGTCACAGTATCTCCTATCCAAGGT